CTACCACACCCTCCAGGGCTATAGTAATGAACATTATTTTCACAAATTATTTATAGTGTGCGGAATATTTTTCCATTGAGTTCTGTTTATTCGAGCATTTGATGCAAAGTTTTGTGATTTTTTTGTTGAAATTATTATTTTATTTTAGAAGTGTTTAAACAAAGTGCGAGAAAATGGTTGACGGACTCGGAAAAGGTGTTAAATATGCGATGTTTGCCGCAAATGGGGTTATATTTGTAAGTATCGATTCTTTACATCAATCACTAATGCATTAAATAATACAGAATTTTTTGTTAATATATTACAAATAATTTTCTTTTATTTTACATTTTTAAGCAATCGTTTGCACATTTAATATAATTTAATTTTGTAGTTTAAATGTAAATTTTATGCATTTTTATTTCATTTTGAGAAATCATAATTCTTATGATTATTCTATATATTCTTTATTAACATTTAATGAATTGCAAATTAATTATTGCAAAATATATAATGGATTTTAACATTTAATAATTATACAGTAAATATAAAAAGTAATATATAATTATTTAATTATATTTACTTATGTTTAACAATTAATAGAAATAAGATCAATGACAACCTTTTTGCATAAAACTTAATATAATATTATTGATAAAACAAATTGCATATATCTGTACACTTTAATCTAATTTTATTATTTTGCAAAAAAGTGCATATTATAAATTCCATTTCATTTCAAAAATATTTAACATTTTAATAAAACTTGAAATGTATTCTAAAATATTTATTATAGTTATTTATATATGTTTGGGACTTTGGGGGAAACAAATTACATAGATTTATGTACAAAACTTATAAACAATTGAAATAAATTGTATTTTATGACCAAATATTAAATCATAAAACAAATATCTATCCGATTGACATTCAATTGTGGCACTAATTATTATAGCATTTGAAAAGAAATAATATATTTTCAACTTAGATTTTATCCTTAACTGAGAATATTTAAATGAGTTTTGAATGCCTAACAAGCATTTTATCACAACATTTTGTTATATTGTTCATATTAAATAATATTCATATCAGATATTATAAGAACTATAATTGCATACTTGACCACTTTTTAATGCATAATATATGACTGCTTATAAATGCATATTTTTTTATATGCTATACAGATATGCAATATCAAGATATTAATATTAAGAAATCATATTTTTATATGTATTATATTAATATACTATACATTTGTTTATAATTACAGTAAGGTACACTTACCACAGTAAGGTACAGGACTAGACATTTTGCTATAGCCTATAGGCATTATTTTTGTTAAGGAAAAAGAATTACAATAACAACAACATAATTTTCAATATTGCTATGATGAAAAATATTTACAATTATTATCACAATTATATAATATATTCTTAAATCAGAACAATGTTTGATTGATTGACAGATTGGAGGTCTGGTAGTGTTTTCAGTGGGCGTATGGACTTTAGCTGACCGTTCATTTATGGAGCGATTGCTGGGCAGCAGTCTATACGTGAGATTCAATTAATAAATCTATTGTGAAAAGGTCTGGTAGTGTTTTCAGTGGGCGTATGGACTTTAGCCGACCGTTCATTTATGGAGCGATTGCTGGGCAGCAGTCTATACGTGAGATTCAATTAATAAATCTATTGTGAAATGATGTGAAACAATGTGTGTTTGATATGAAGGTTGCGTCGGCAGCGCTATTGATCGCCGCCGGAGTGATTGTGGCCATCATTTCATTCTTAGGCTCTTTGGGAGCCTATAAGGAGATCCGTTGTATGCTTTTGACGTTTTTCGTCATTTTATTCTTCATATTCCTTCTTATGTTAATCGGAGGAATCCTGGGATATGTCTTCAGAAATCAGGTTTTTAAATGTTTAACATTATTAATTTTTTTGTTAACTAATTTTGTTAACCATAAGGTTGACGATCGGATGAACAGAGAGATGATATCAACAATTTCTCTCTATGGAAACGACACTGCGGTCACTGATGTAAGGCTTTGATTCAATTAATTATTAAATAAATGTTTTGCAATTCATTAATATTAATACTATTTTAATGATTAAAGAGTTGTTTTGTATATTTAATGACACTTTTATTTGTATTCCTAATAGGCGTGGGATTCCGTTCAAAAGAATGTATGTTTTAAGTTATATTGTTTTTAAATTGTTTTGTTTATATAATTTTTTAATTAAAAATTAGTTCAAATGTTGCGGAATATCAGTAAACGGCGCCAAAGGATACCAAATATATCAGAGACAGAATAAGCCGTATTTTGGTCAGAGCGGGCCCTCAAAGCCTAAAGTGCCCATCAGTTGTTGTGTCGGTCCAAAAGGCAATGACAACACAGCAGCCAATACTTGTAATCACGAACCCGGAGATCACAGCAATGTTTACCCAGAGGTATGATTTGACCACATATTTATATAATACTACATTGGCTATAGTTTATATAATAGTTATTATCATACTGTATAAACTATAAGTACAATGTAGTAACTTAAAATGGTAAAATGGCACTTAAATAGAAATAATTTAATATCATTTTTTAATTTACTATTTTAAACAAATTATAGACTTATTCTGTACATTATAAATTTTAATAACTTGCTATAAAATTAAACTGTTTAATTATTTGTAACAATAGGACTGTTACGTAAAAATGAAAGATTTCGTAAAAGTAAGTCCTTTTGTTAATATATTAAAAATAATTAACACATATCTATATTATATTTTTAGGGACACGCGTTACTCGTGGGTGGCATTGGAATAGGAATTGCCTGTATATTAATTATAGGTAAGAATATGTTTATTATTTTAATTAAGTTCAATTAGTTTTAAATATATCAGAAATTTAGATATTTCTAGTCGATCTAGACTTCATTTTTATATAATTAATAACAATTATTAACAAATCTAGAATTATAGAATATAATGAGAGTACTAACAGAAGAGCATTTTTGAAAATGGTTTTATTATATCGATATATACTAACAAAGTATATTGTAAGGCTTGTTATGGAGTAATTCGTTTTCTTTTTATACTAATAAAATTTGCTAGACATCAGACATTTAATGTCAGACATAAAATTAACGACATTTACATAATATAACAAATACAGATATTTTAGTAATATTGTGATTGACTAAAATGAAATGTACTTATAATGTAAAGGTTTAGTAAATATATAATGTTTTATTCTATTTTGTTAATTATAATACCGTATAAGATACTGTACTTATATTTTTAAATTCTTTATAGATAAATACATTAATATTACTTTTTTAAATAGGTTATTACGAGTTTAATTATATTTAAAAGCCTATTAAATTAGGTATTGCATATTTAATATACGAGTATTAAAACATTAATCAGAGATTTGCAAAAAGAAAATATTTAGTTATCCCTGAAAACGGCATTAAAATAAAGTCATTTGAATGGAGAAAATGTTTGAAAGAATTTGCAGACAAAAGTTGTGTTACAAAGAAAAGTATGAAATGTATGAACGAATGTCAAGTCATAAATGTTTGTATCACTACTTGTAGTGCTTTTCTCTGGAATTTGTTTGTGTTTCAAAAGACTCGACTTTTTGTTGTTTTTTCAATCTCTCAAATTTTGAGACTCAAAAGCTCTCTAAATGCTTAAGAAAACAATTTTGGTTTTTTCGAGAAAAAACTTTTAGTTTCTAAAATAAAATTCAAAATATGTATTCATTATATGTTTATAATATCGTTAATAACGATAACTTATATAATTCTTATGAAAACATTAATATAATATATACCTTAAACATCTACTTTTGCATCACATCTGAAATATTTGGGAATTATATTAATTACATTTTGAGAAAATATTTTTTAAGAATTTTTAAATATTTAAAATATAATTAAAAACATTTTTATAAATATTAAGTACATTTGACAATAAGTTACGAATAATACAAAGATATTGATTGAAATAATGATAAATATTTAATACAATTCTTATATTGCTTACAAAGGAATGGTTCTATCGATGGCTTTGTTTCTAATGATTGATTAGGAGTACAACGATGTAAATCGCCTTCAATTTATGCCTAATCAACAATTTAGTCATTCATTCATTTATTAATAGATTTTAATTATAATTCAAAGAAAACATTTATTTTCTACTCTAAAACTTATTGTCTCATCGATTGTATTAATCATTAAATTATTAATTCATTATATAATCTGTAATATAGAAACTGATATAAATTTATTAATTTATATTTACATTTAAATCAATTGTCAATAATATTATTATTGTATAATATTTTCAATTATAAAGTACCTCAATATTCAGTATTAATATGTAATAAAATATTATTATAATATTATATAATATTTTATGTATTCATATCCCATACAGTTTTAATATAATTTGCATATTATTTTTAACTTATCATTAAAATTATTTAAATTCAATGTTAAATCTTCAGCAATAATATGATGTTTTTATTTTACATTTGAATGATTATTATATTTTATTCACAACTTTCCTAAAATAGAAATATTTTTGTTTTAAGAAATAAATTAAAAATGATTATTTGTATTTTAAATAAGTCTTATCTGTAAATAATTGGAAAATATTAAAAACAAATTTAATGAATATTCTGAGTAGGTAAATTATTTGTTTTAAATTTAGCAATTCATTTATAAATAATTATTTATTTCTTAATTTAAAAATTAGTTATATTCACAAAATAAAACATAAAATATATAAAAATATATAAATATATAAAATATAAGTATAAGTATAAATATTAGTATTTAAAAAATCTAAACTTTTTTAAAATATGTTTACAATAATTACAAATAAGTTTTTATTTCCAATATAATCTATAAATCAATAAAAGTTGTGCATTAAGTGTTGTGAATATATTTATAAAATGAATGTTTTAGTGTTTCTAACTTAATATGTATTCCTGTGTTTCGTGTGTTTCATGTGTTTTATGCCATTCGGTTGTCGTCGTCGTCGTCGGCGGCGCTCAGCCTTCACAACAACTACTGGTTTAGGAGAGCTTTCGCAGTGTATCTCATAGTTGTAGTGATTTGTATGACTGGAATCTCGATATGTGGGTCTAATCCACTATTGCATGCCTTACACCATATCTCGAGGTTAAGTCTAATTTTAGAAAAGAGATTTCCGGACAGAAAAATCTTTGCTTAACTAAACATGAGTTGTGAGAAGAAGACAGAGTGAAGGATGA